GGTTTACTCCGATCTGCTCCCTGGCAGACAGCTCAGGAGCCTGGGAGAGGAGGGAGGCGGCTGGCCAGGGAGTGGCTAGTCTGAGTGATACCAGGGGTGCAGAACCTTGGTGAGCCTGCCTTCTAGTAGCATATTCCAATTCCTACTAAATACCAGTTCCCTAAGGACCTTCCGCCTGGTGAGGACACATTTCCTGCAGAGAATATAAAAAATAACAGGAAAGAGAGAAAGCAAGAGACAGCACCTTCACTTCCTGTGCCTCTGCAGGAAGCTTGGGAATGCCAAGGTCTCACTTCAGAGAAAGAACATCCCATAATGTGTGTGTGTGGGCGGGGGGGGGGGGGGCTATGTAATACTTTAAACAATACTTTAAACAATAAAGAATTTTTTAAAAAAAGAACAACATCTGAGCACCTTAGTGCAAGCAGGTGTTTGGTTGGTGAAGTGTCTTCTCTTTAGTCCCCACCATGATCTGGTACATAGAAGGGCCAATTAGTACTTGTGAATCCATTCCAGTGTGGATTGCACACGTCAGAAGGTGTTAGAAAGACCTAGTCAGAGGAGAAACCTCGCCCTTGAGGTCAGCTTTCAGCCTTCACTCTGCTCCACCTGAGCCAGCCAGCAGCGTGCCCCTCCACACAGCCCCGCCCACCTCCCTTCTAGCGTGGGAAGTCCAGAACATCCTCTCAGGAACAGCAACACCAGTTACACCCCACTCAGTTGAGACTGTCATCAGGGAAGGAAAAGAGGGGTGGGGTGCCCTGAGATTGTAGGTTAGAAAGTTGTGTATTGATCAACACCCAAGTGGTTTGGATCAAGACCTGTGATGCTACTATAGACCCAATTTTAGACTCTTGGGGCTGAGGCAGGGGCCAGGGGGCCTCCCCAGGCCTCACCTGACCAAGGGGGACAGGCGAATGGATGTGGTGGCACCCGGAGGCGGCTGCATCGTCACACAGCAGTCCTGACAGCTGGTGAATGCACGGGTCCTTTCTTCACAGAGTGGCAGGTAGCAAAGAAGGTGAACTGTGATTGACAGATCATTTCTACCAAGCAGCCTGTGCTCAGCTCCCGGTTTGTCTTACACTGAGACTGTGCAGGGGAACATAAGCCTCCCAGAGTTTGTCTCTGACTTACACCAGATCCTTGCGTACAAATCGGGGAAAGCTCACTTCTGCTTCTCTGTAACCTCGGGAGATATGGTCTCTCAAGTGAATGAAAGGGGCCTTTATGATGTCCCCAAACATGAGGAATCACCATCAGGCCTCCTGCCAAGCAGTCAGCCTGGGAGCTGGCATGCTCCCCACCCTCTCCCACCTGCCCCTTCTCTAGGCATGGATGGGTGGGTGTTGGACAGCCCCCCTCCCCCCGCAGACTGGCCCTGGAGAGAGAAGATGCATTTCATTCATTGTCCCCATCTCTCCTCAGACCTGTCCATTTCCCACCTGGGTTTGCATCAGGCCCTGCAGGGGGCGTGGGGATAAGAGGGCTGGTTTTCGGGAAACTGCCCAGCAGCAGGCAGCTCACCATTCAGAGAGAAGCCACATGTGGCCGGACACAGGCAGAGGCGGAAGACCTGGTCACGGAGCACTGCGAAGGCCAGGCCGAGGGCAGTGGCCACCGCACACAGCGGGAGGACCATGGGAGATGCACAGAAACGACCGAGGTTGAATGTCATGTTTTACTGATGGCCAGGTACAGTTCCACACAGCAACCCTCCCCCGACCCCCACCCCTCCCTCCAAGGGTTTACAGAACATTATATAAGTGGTCCCTATTTACAAGTCAATAAAAGGCAGGACAGACAGATTTTAAAACCCCTTTTCTCCCATCTAAGAAAAGCCCTTAGGTCTTCTGCCCTGAGAGATGCCTGTGAGAGCGCTCCATACCACAGCCCACAGTCCACAAGTACCTCCCCACACACAGTTCACAAGTACCCCCTCCCACAGTCCACAAGTACCCCCCACACACAGCCCCCACATACAGTCCACAAGTACCTCCCCACACACAGTCCACAAGTCTCCCCCTCCCACTGTGCAGTATGAAATGTGCAGAGGAACCACGGCCAATTTCCTGTCTCTGGTGACCTCACTCGCTTGGCCCATTCCCACTGCTTGCTGTGGTGGCAGCTTCAAGTGCTCCTGCAGGGGGTGGGGGCCAGGGTGCCTGAGGGCCTCCCACTAAGGTCCTGACTCCAAGGGAGGGATGGAAACTACTCCAGATGCCCAGCAGTCACCTCCTCTGCGTTGATAGGAAGGAGAGGACTTGAATCAGCAAGATCCGGCCAGTGTTCCTGGGCTGAAGGGAGTGGGGGCAGGGGTGGCTGCTCCTGGGCCCTCGGGTGCTGGGACAGTGGCTCCAGAGCAGGTGTAGGTTGCCAGCCCCCCCATGGCTGCCACTCAGAGGGAGGAGGCTGCCCACACCCATGCAGGGCCCAGCACCCCTGTGCCATGAGTAGCCTGGGGTCCCCCTGATGAATCCCTGTGCCACCAGCCTCCACCTGTGAGAAGGGCTGTTGGAGGGGATCAGGAGGTAGACCCAGGGCTGCAAGGCTGAAGCCCGAGGACAGAGAGTGATGGAAGCTTCCAGGCTTCCCTAGTGCCCTAGCTGGAGTCTCCAGGTCACAAGTCTCCCCCTTCATGTGCCCTAAGAAGACAGCTTGACTAGGAAGGCCCCCCACCCCCCAGGAGAATCGGCCGGCATCGCTCTGGAGAGTTCTGTTGGAGTCACAGTTGCGGAGAAGGCCCTGGAGGCCAGAGCAGTGGGGAGGGGCGGAGAATCCACCCTGACGGGATCCTGGGGCCGCGGCTGCCTTCCCACAGGGCCTCCTCTGGAAGTGCTTTGGTTTGCCCTTTTTGCCCACATTGACCAAAACCATTATCTGAAGGATCTGTATGGATCCTAAAAAGCATTGTCTCCGACCATGGGGCATGCCAGCATGTATATGTCTGTTGTAGACTAATGACTCCTTCCAAAATTATCCATATTGTAATCCTCAGAACTTGGAATATATTATCTTACTAGAGGCCCTGTGCACGAATTCGTGCATGGGTGGGGTCTGGCCCACCCGCCCCACTTGGGGCCAATTAGGCCTGGCTGGCCAGGGGGAGGGGCCATGGGTGGTTGGCCTACTGGCCCTGCCCCCTGGTCGAACTCCCAGTTGAGGGGACAATTTGCATATTAGCCTTTTATTATATAGGATTACATAGGATGTGGCAAAAGAGGCTTTGCAGGTGTAGTTAAGTTGAGGATCTTCAGATGGGGAGAGTATCCTGGATTATCCAGGTGGGACCAATATAATCACAAGAGTTCTTATAAGACGGTGGTTCTCAACCTTGGCTGCACATTAGAATCACCTGGGAATCTTTTTTAAATCCTGATTTCTGGGCCTCATCCTCCGGAAATTCTGTTTCTTTGTTATGGGGTGGGGCCACAACATTAGTAACAAAGAAACAGAATTTCCGGAGGATGAGGCCCAGAAATCAGGATTTTAAAAAGATTCCCAGGTGATTCTAATGTGCAGCCAAGGTTGAGAACCACTGCGCTAGAGCTTAAAATAAAAGTAAAATCTTTGGCTGATTCAAACCCTTCTCAGTGTAGCCTAACCGACCTTGGGGACAAATCTCCCCAGAGTGCCCACCTCGCACCCAGGTGTTGAGTGAGCTCACTTGTCCATCCGCACAAACACATGGGTGCATGTCAGCACTGGCCCCCACTCCCTGCCCTTGAAATAGCCTCCTTCCAGTTCCGGACTAGCTGCTACGTATGCTCCCCAAAACAATACATAGGACGCCCTTCCCGCCGGTAACAACGGGGTTCCCAGCCCCACAGGTTCCCTGAGGATCTGGGCTTCCATCCCCACCTGCCGGGCCCAGCAGCCAGCAGGGTACTGGTGCTAGTTTATCACCAGAGTTGATCCTGCTTTCCTCCCTCAGAACCTTTGCAAACCTGCTTTTCCAGCAGCAAACTTCACCAGTCCCTCTGGGCCTAATAGCTCCTGCCTCCCAGGTGCCTCCCAGCTGAGCCAGTAAAGGTCAGGGTTTCCCATCCTGGTTCCAGGAGCTGTGAGTTGGGACCACGTACCATTACGGAACTCCCAAGGCCAGCTCTTTTGCCTGGTCTTGAAGTCCTAACAGGCTGCCTGCCCCTCCCTGGGTCCGGTTCCCTGGCCGCCTGGTAAGAGCCCACTGCAGGCTTTTGCGTCTCTAACTCAAATGTCACTGGCTTGGGACTATCCCTGGCGTCCCAGTTCACTTTGGAAAGTTTGGAGTTGGGGGAAGACACTGAAGGAAAAATATGGATACTCATTTGGAAACATTTAGTTCAGGTTACCACTGCTTTCAAAAATAGGAAGCCCCAAGGCCCGCACAGTCCAGTTTATCTTTCTGCATGTACTGGGTGCCTCTGGTAACCCTTCCCCTCCCTGGACTGTGGTTTTGCTTAATTATTTCTGGGGTTGCATAAAGTTTTTTAAAAGTAAAATTTTTAACAGAGCACCTGGCACACAGCAAACCCTCCACGGATGCTCTTTCCTTCTCCCGCAGCCTGAGTCCTCCCACCCCTTTCATCAGGCGCCTCGAAGGGGGCTGCATAGGAAAGGGTGGGAGGGGGCCCTGGGGACCAGGCGGGCTGCGACACAGGAGAAACACCTGGGGAGATTTTAGAACCACCTGGCCCAGGTGGAACGCCAGGTGTCAATACTGTAAAGCTCTCCAGGTAATAACAACATTCGGTCCAGGCCAAGGGTGGGTGGAGGGCAGGGGGTCAGCATGCTCCAGTCACCTGAGGTTTAAAAACCTCTACAGCCTGGGCCCACTCCCAGAGCTTCTGAACCTAAATAAGGCTGTGGGGTGGGGCCCTGATGGTTCCAGTTTGAAAAGCACTCAGGACAGAGATTTCAATCCTGGTTACACATTAGTCACCTGGGGGCTTCCCAGACAACCTACGAATATTCCCGGCTCCACATTTTGTTTCAGGCCCGGGCTCTCAAACTCATCCCGGCTGGTTCCTGGAGGCCGACCCAGTCCCCTCCTTCACCCATTGCCCCCAGGATTACGGTGTACCCTGGGGCAGGGGGCGGGGGTTGAGACCCAGAGGACCAAATGATCCAGAACCCCTGGGATCCCTGACTGCCTTTTGGGGACCCTGGTGAGGTTAAAACTAGTTTCTTTACAAAACCACACTCAGATGTGATCTGCCTTTGCCCTTTTCACTCCCAGAGGCCGACACCTAGAGCAGCTGACACTTGTCTCCACTGCCATTCCTCTCACTACATACATTTTCTGGCTGTGAAAATATGGTTACTTTCATTAAAAAAAAACAGGTTAACTTGTCATGTTTTATTATGGTTATTTAAAAAGTAGTATAGATCCAGAGGCATTGAAGCATGCAACAGGCTGGTGTGGGATTAACCAAAGAACTTATGTGCCTTCTGCATAACCCATGGACACAGACAAGAGGGTGGGGAAGGCCTGGGGAGGGGGCAGGAGTGGGGTCAATGGGGGGAAAGGGTGATATCTGTAAAACTTTCAACAATAAAGATAAATTTTTAAAAATTAGTGAATAGTTTTAAATTTCTCAGTTTCGATTTCTAACATGGTAAATATTTGACAGATACAGCCCAGTTAGCTTCTACCCCTAGCCAGAGCTGTAATCTAAGCCACTAGCCTCTCTGATCTTTATTTTGCCACCCCTGTGACTGAGATTAACGCCCACCTCAGAGGGGCAGTACAAGGGTTAATTCAGGTGTTTGCTTAAAGCTTGCGTTTTAAACAGGCTCTCCCTCCCTCAAGGAGCACAAATTGGCACTTTACCTGGATTCTTGACTCAGGAATCTGGATTCGCTTGGCTAGTTCTTCTCTCTTAGTGGGAACCAGGTATGGTTCCTTTTCAAAGGCCTCGACAAGAACCTTGAGTTGGTTTTTGTTGTACTTGGTCCTCTTGCGCCTTGAGCCTCTTGGGGGCCCTGGGATGGACAGACACACACACACACACACACAGCAGAAGAGACATTAGTCTCCACGTCACATTTAGGTCTACGAAGACTTGCTCCCTGTCCAGGGCAGCCTGGGGCGGCAGCCTCCCACGCAGAGGAATTTGTTTGCAGGCAGAGGTCTCTGGTGCCCTGTACTCTGCAGAACCTGCTCCCAACTCGCCTCAGTTCCCAACAATTCTTGAGGGGGGAGGGGGGAGGGGGGAGGCATGCCATATAAACTATAATCACAACTGAAGTGCAACTCCGGAGACGGCCATGGGCAAAGCTGGTCTGCCAAACCTCCACTTGTACTGGGAACCAAAGTCCACCAAAACCCAGATCCCCAAAACCAGAACATAAGGAATCTCCATGTGGGAAGAAAACTAACGGGGGAGAGTGTGTGT